GGTGTAGGTCCTTAAGGGTCTGTTCATTTTAAATCTGAGAGTCAAAGTGGTTCTTCAATCCTGTATAGGACCAGCCCAAGACCTTGAACTGTCATCTTTAACTTAAGAAGTATCGTAGTTGTTTGACAGTCAAATGGAAGAATACTAAAATACAGTATGTCTTAGGCTATCAGTAACACCTGTTCAAATCCACTCAGCATCAGGAAACAGAGCTGAAGTTCTGAAGACTGATATTGCAGGATATGGCAAATTCATAGTGCACCCCCCACCTTAAGAATTTATCCTCTTATCTCCATTCCATCCTTTTGTTACTTATGCATTGAAGCAAGCATTGTATGACTAACACAGCCCAATGCAGCAACTTCATTCGATTCCACTATTGAACAAAAATCAGGAGAAAATGTCACCCTACTTGTCATATGCAGCACATTCACTTCACCAGCTGCATGAAACTGCCACCAAGGACTGCTTAGAGGTAGATCCACAGAGAGCAAGAAAAAAAATTTTAGATTCACATGCAATACAATAACAAAATATTACCAGCAGGCCATTTCTGTGAAAATGCTGTAAAAATCTTTTTTTTTTGACCAAACAGTTGGCATCTTTTATCATCCATTAAAGCATTTGGATTCTTTAAAGACTTATGGCTGGAAGCTTGAACTGATGGCCCCTATTTCTGCTGTAAGTGTAATGCTGTCATACAGCTGTGAACTGCTTTTACTGTATTTAGTCAGTACCGCATTTCTACCTTGAGCATAATCTTTTTTGTCATTAGACATCACCTTATATTGCAATTGTCTTCTGTTTTCAAAGACACTAGTTCAATTTTGTTGTATCCTGAATTTTGTTGTGTTCTGCCAAAGTCTCTTGATATAAGGGAGTGTTTGCATTGCATAGCTGTTTATTGAAGTAAAATACGTAAAGAGGTAGCTCAAGGGTAGAGGGACTTTTAAGAGTGAGTAATGATTGGAAGAAGAGTGCTGAAAATCCTCAAAAAAAGGATTCTGAGATAGAAATCATCAAGGCAGAAGCCTAAAGGATGGAGAAAAATTACTTATTCAAAAATCTGATGGTTTGAGTTACTACATATGATATCATATATGTAGTAAAACATATACTAAAGTTTTAAGAACCCACTGCATTTAGCTAATATAAATGCAGTACTTCCCTCCTCTTCATATCAAATAGGCTGCATTAAAAATTTAAAAATTCTGAAGTAGTGTGCTTGTTTTACTTTTTACTACTTTGATACTTACCGAACTATTTCCTCCAGTTGCCTCAGATTCTTCCAAGAGGAAAAAAAAAGCCTGCAATAGTGTACTATTTTTCCAATCTTTTTTCACACTATGATTACTTTTTTAATGGTTATTTCTGAAGACTAACTCTACAGATGCAGATACTTTTAACCTAAGGGCTGTCTACAAAAGCATTAGAGCAGAATAACATTTTATACTGTAAATTTATCCTGCCTGTCCTGCAGAAGTTTTAGCAAAATCTTGTTATGCCCTTGATCACGAGCGCAGAAGTTTCGCAGAGATTCACAGCCACAGCAGATGCAACTCCCTGCCTTTCAAAAGCTTTAGATAAACCCAAAGAAATGGTCAGGACTCTAGAGCTAGATAACTTACACTTCTAACATCTTCAAGAGCAGACTCATTCCAACTGTGGCAGCAGCTAACTCCCAGAGCCAGACAAAGACCTTGCACTGTAGGGTAATGGGAAAAATGAGATGGTAAAAGTGTACAGATGTGAGAGTCTGGATATTCACCTAGGCCTGGGAGAGAGCCTGTAGCTGCTGCTCTGTGCCCAGCTGTGATCAAATGACCACTGTGGAAAAAAAAAAAAATATTCTTTCAAGGACCCTATTTCAAAGCTTCCCAGGCTGCACAGAAACCTCCTGTTTCCCAGCAGTGATTTAGACTCTTGTCCTCTTCTGTTTACAGTGTAGAGACAGCACCAATCTTTCCTTTCTCCTGCATGAATTCTGCTACCTCTGTGGGAAGAGGCCAAAAGAGCTTGAAAGAGACAGTAGTGGGTGGAGTGCTGCTGTTTTCAGTCTGCTGTGCAACAGCACCATCCAGCTGTCAAACAAAAAAGTTATCAAATGTTCATGCTACTATCCAGATTTGGTCCTTGTACCACAAACAAAATGAATAATTATACCTATTAAAAGAACCCAAAAACTAAAAAAATAATAAAAAAAACCCAACAAAACCAAAAAACCCCAACCAAAACAAAACAAACAAACCAACAAAAAACCAAAAAAACCCCCAAAACAAAAAACCCCAAATAACCCCAAACCAAAAAACCTTTAAAACCCAAAATAAAACCCACAACCAACTCACAGGTCCTTCCTTGCTTCTGAATTAATTATATTGATCCATTGTGTCATGTTTTCTGTGTTAGTACACAAAAGTGTGCTTTAGCGAGCTAAGAATTCAGCCCAGTTTACTTCTGCCCAGTAAGACTGGCAGGCTACAGCTTACCTCAGTGTTTCAGTGAAGTGTGGAATATAAGCTCTCAGGTATGAGGAAAAGACCATTATCTTTGGCTCACAACCAAAGACAGTTAATCATACTACAGAAATTAATGGAAAAAACTCAACCATTTCATACATAAGAGCCTATGTTTTAGCTATCATAATTTACCACTTGAGCTTCAGTAATGACAGCAAGAACAGCAACCTCCAGTGAGGGAAAAAAATGATGAAAAGTCATACTCAACTAACAGATCACTCTTGAGACATTATAACACAAGGAAGAAAACTTCTTGCTCTCCAAGATTTTTCGTAAACTTGTGTTACTTAACAGTAACTATAAGGCATATGCAATGGAAATAAGTGGCATTCCCTACAACAGATGACTGATCACCTGAATTAAATCTACAAGTTCCCTGCTTAAATTGCTCTCAGTTCTACACTAAACTCATTTTTGTTGTAACACCCACAGACAGCTTACCATGTGTGTCCACTGATGATCAAGAAGTCTAATATTAGACTACTGTTCTTTCATTACATGTGCCTTAGCCTAACCTGTGATCCCACATTCTTGTAATGATACTTGAAAGCAGGGAATGCACCTCCTTTTCTGACTTTCTGAAGTCCAGCACTAGTTCTTTACAAAGCAGTACACAGTACCTATCAAAGTCTAAAGATAAGTCAGTCAACCTTCAAAAGAAAAGAACACTAGTGGACACTTTCCAAGCAAATACTGGCAGGAAAAAAAAAAAAGTAAATGCAACAGTTTACCTAGGAAAAAGAATTTCTATACTTGAAAAAAACCTGAAAGGAAAACTTAGGATAAGTTCTTTTGTATAAAATCTAATATATGTTTTAATTACTGTGAGCCCAGAGTGTAAGAGCACAGCAGCAGAAAAACAGCAATCACTAGAATAGTAGCTAAAGCCATAGGAGCAAAGAACATGCCCAAAGATACAGCAGAGGTGCCAAATGACAAACCCGTGCCAAGTAGGAGAGAAGGTGCCCTTAGGCAAGCAAGGCAGCAAAACTAGGAGTCCAGAGAGACACAGCCCTAAGGAAAAGTGGACAATAGCTGTACCAAAATTGCAGCTGAGAGAGGCATGGCCAATGAGGAGGTACTATGGCTAAGTCTGACCAACGAAAGCAAGTTCTTTCACTATGACAAGAACAGAGAACAAGACCTTCAAAAGAAGATGTATTAGAACATTATTGCAACACTACATCATTAGATCAGAGACAAAAGAAAGGTGCTAGAAAAAAGATGGAATAAGAACAGACCAAAACGCTCAAATAAGTAAAAAAATGAATTGGTGCCAAATGGGAAAAAAAAAAAAAAGACTGGTACGTAGGAGGGTATTGGAAGAAGGTGGCAAGGAAGCAGTGGACAAAAGCAAGTCCTTGAATCTAGAATGAAAATTTCTTCTCTGTTCCACACTAGGAAAAAAAAGTAAAATGTCAAAGTTTGCATTTAAGTGCAGAGAAAGTACTTTGAAATTAAGAATCTTATGATCTTGATTGAAGAAAGTCCATTTTCCTTGCCAGGAACTGACAAGAAAACTTGTGACATGGCTTAGAGGCTGCACAGCTATGCTCAGAGAATTGCATACTCAAAAGGCATAGAGTTACACACTTATTCCAATAACAGAAAGGGTAGGAGCAATCCATTTCAAAACTCAGATGTAGATGGAGAACAGAAAGGAAGAGCAAAAGCAGATTTTGTATAGTTATTAGTCAGATCAAATAAGGGGGCAGGTGGAAACAACATAAAAATCCCAACAAGCATAGAAATAGGCCTCCAGTGGAAAGAAACAAGGCAAGCCAGACAGGGGAAACAGGAAGCCATGAAGACTTTCCAAACAGTCTAAATAGAGACAACACTTTTACACTATCCTCCATGAGGTCAGCCAGAGTTCTGCCAACTTGATCCCAGTAAGTACTAAAGGATTTCACATGGAACCTGAGCTCATGATAGTAGTTTTTCTGTTTTGTCACAGGGTTCAAGCTTTTAAGCCACGACATCAGAAGGCAAAAGGTAAGAAGACACTATTTCCACTAGACAGCAACCTGTTTACACTTATTAGTTGTTCCGTTTAGTTAAGGAATCAATCCTACTTAAGATTACAGTACCTGTTCAAACTGAGCTTGTAGCCTTGTATGAGTAAGCATTTCTAAACCCAGAGCTTCAGCTGTCCAGAGAGTCTTAGATAGATGTACTATAGTTAAACCTGCCATGTCACTCAGAGTATTTGTTTACATGTCTGCAAGTCCGTCCCCCCCCGCCTGCCCACCAGCAAAGTATCTATTTACTATCCACAGAAAGTACTATTCAGAACTGAATTCCTCAGGTCTGAACTATCTTCATCAACCTCTCTAACCTTGTAACAAGCAAAGCTTACAGATCTGATTTATTGCAAGCTTTTGCTGTCACTGACAAGTACAGTGGCAGACCTAACTACAAGCTTGCTGCATTTAGGATTTTAGTTTATGAACAGTCTTATTTAAACTCAGGACACAGAATTCGACACACGTGGAAAGAGTGACAAGACCACACATGGTAAATCCATACTGGTGGGCAGAATAGCTGGGTGCACGAAACACATTGCATGTACCAGCTTCTCAACCTGCTCCAGTCTTAGAACCACACTGCAACACTCATCACCCCCTCTTTTTACTCAGACTTTCTGCAGGTCCTATTAATTTTATATTTAGCATCTCACAGCAAGTTAGTTTCTACTTCCAAAAGTTTCTACTTCTAGACATAAGTTGTGTTGATACTCATGTCTTCCAGTAAAAGGCCAAGTTCCCATGACAGGAAGTATGAATCAAACCAGGAAGCTCTATCCTAGAAAGCTCACACATTTCAAAACTTAAGATCTTATTTTAATCCAAGATATGACAACTGTAGAGTTCAGTTCATAAAACAGTAACTTGCTGCTGGTAAGTCTTCATATGTACAGAGAAAACAGTCAATTCAAGTTTCTAGTCAGTAGGGCTTCCCCATTGATTCCAAGATTTTCTTTCTCTCGTCTGCTGAGGGCATCTCTGGTTTCACACCATTTCTTCTCCTTTGCATCATAATGGCATGCTGAAAATAGAATAAAAAAATGACCATGAGAACAGATTTCTCAGAATCTCTGCTTCAGAGCTCCAAACTAACAAGATTCTTTAACAGAAAAACTTTCAATATATCAAGAACCAGATACTCTATAACTATGCTTACTAGTACTTAACTGAAGATTAAGTAGTTTACCCTGCTGCTTCAGAAGACAGTGAAATCCATATTCCCATTACACTCTGTCAGACTAATGCACAACTGCCTGTAAATAGTTTTTTTGCAGTTTGCCAAATATTTAAAGGCTAAGCTAAAAACTACTATGGCATAAGGAAAGAAAACAGCAAAAACACGTAGTTCCTCATTATACTTCTTTACCACAAGAGAGAAGGCAATAAGAATGAACTCTTCCTAAGAATGAACCACCAAATAAGAATGATCTCTTCCTAAGCTTTATCCTAAGTTAAAGCAAACATGATCCAAAACAATGGAAAACCAGATAACCTTACCTTACCTCAGAACTTTTTCAATGCCTACGTTTAAAAGAAAACTTATTACCAGAAATATCTGACTCAAATTGAGAGGGAAACATCAGGTACTGGAGGAACACACAGCCTAAGAGAGTAAACTTAGAAGAATTGAGTGAAGTGCTTTGATGTGCATCTGCTTAAGTCTTCCAGCAACACATACTGAGACTACTTAGACCTGTAAGTTATCATAAAAACAGCAGCAGTCAGCATTAGCTAAGTCTGAAGGGTTCAGAAACCAGTGTGTCAGGTACTTAAAGCAAAACAGGGAGTAAAAACTAGAAAGTCTACTGTGCTTACCCAGAATTTTCTGCAGTTTTTGTACTTCAAAAAATAAGCAGTACACATATCCTTCTTATAGTTGTTTTCATCCAGACATTTTGTAGTGGCATCTGTTTCCTTTAATAGGGGAAAATATACTTCAGAGCTGAGGGAAGTTACTGTACTCAGTGTTTAAATATTTCAACAAGTCCCAGAATATCTATGAAGATAGAAGGTAGCTTCTCAGATGAAAGAATACTATCAAAGAGAGCAAAGGAACATCTATCACAAAGGATAATCAGTACTTCTAAGTAGTGACTTCATTTGGAGGTAACAGACATTAGTACTCTTTAAACAGTAAGGATAGAGTCCACAGAATAATTGTTTACAATGATGCTTAGTGTAACTCATAAAAGACTTTTAAAAAACAACCAAGCTGGTCTAACCAGGATTTCAGGCTCTGGTTTTAAGGACAGAAAATTAAAAGAGATTGCTATCAGTTGTATCACTCCTATTTATTGGGAATTACTCATTATTTCACGCTTACTATAATGGATGATCTTCAGCTCTTCCATCTTCAGAGTCTTAAGAAACTCTTTACGCAAAATGCTATAATGTAAGAGTGGTATTCCTGAAAAAGGCCTCTAGAAATTGCATTATTTAACATCAAAACATCAAAACAGAAATCTCAATTTGATCATCTTACCGCTACACATGGATTTATATCGTGATCTCTAAGCTTTTGTGCATGCCTGGACATCTAGACAGACACTTGTACCTTGGATAGAAACAGAAAATAAACAAGTTAACTATCTACTTTTATTAGTAACTCAGGATTAAGTCTGAACTTCAACATATAATAAAGGCCTTGTAATAACACACAGAGTTTGGTTGTCTTTAAAAAAAAAAAAACCAACAAGCAAAAGCCAAACCACTACCAAACTTCTTTTGCAAAAATGTTATTTCAAAAGCAGTAACAGCAAGAAAACTCAGGCAAGTTTAGCCCATCACCAAGACTGCTTACTCCCTGATGAATTTCTGCAGAGAATGGAGTCAGTGCAGTAACTCTCACACTAGCCCATGATATCACAAAGGAAGTGACTGCATTTAGGAGAAACAGCTCCATAGAAACTGTTCACAGCCAACACACTGTAGGCACTTCAATTAATAGTGTGTGGGAGGAATGTGCAAGTAAACTTTTCTAGATTCGTGCCTACTCCTTAGCTCAATCACATCTGTATCTTCACTGAGCTTTCCCAGGTACAACAAGTGCCCAACTACTTCCTGTGATGCTGTACCAAATATTTAATAGAAAGAGAAATGGTTTCCCCACAAGGTGGGACCCGACGCACTTACACTTGCGTGACAGCTTGAATCACATTTTTCAGCACTTGAGTAGTTTGACACTGACTCTAGGAACTGTAAGCTTAAGAGACACAGAATTCAGTGCCAAGAACCTACACTGATCCAAGATGATGACATCAAGATGAAGAGCAGACTCCCTTTCCCTTTACAACTTCCTATACATTGCCTCTGGCACACATATGGCCATGCAGGTATTTGTTCCAAACAAATACTGAATCTAACAAAAAATAAATTAATGTTGACCAGATGACTGTTTGAGGCAATGCAAGCAGGAACAGGACTGAGGAAGCAAATACTGCTGATGAAGGAAACTGAGCTGCATCTTTCATTTTTTTATTTTCTCTTAAAGCTCTAAACTTAAACTTGTTTCTGTTCACATTAGGGAAAGATAATGCAAGTCTGCAGTAAAAAGCCAGTTTTGCTTAATATCAGCGAACAAAAGTCAAATACTGTTCTTTGTAACTCACAGACAGAAAACAGTGTTTTAGACGGGGTTTCTTCTTTGGGTAAAAGTAAGCCATTCTCGGCAAACAAGCCCTAGATTTTACATCCTGTGCATGTATACTCTCCTGATGCTTAGAGTACTCTCTGCATTCCATAGGATAGTCTTCTGCAAATGGGCCTTTTAAGGAACAGCACCGGGAAACCCTTCAACCTGCCTTTGAGAACTATCCAGTGCTTAAATTAACTTTACAAGCTAGGCAAATGTTTGCCTTTTTTGTGAGTGCAAGAGTATTTTTGATCCAGCACTTCCAACTCAAATGGAAACACAAGCAGGTATACTAGTATCAGCCCAGACTTCAAGGAGGAGGGAGAGGAAAAGCAGCAGAAAGCAAAAGCAGCACATCACAATGCCTCACCTAAGTCAGCATAAAAGACACAACATTTTTAGATGTTCGTTTGTGTCTGTGTTATAACTCTGCATTTCATTGATATTACCAGCTAAGCAGACATGCCTTAAGGTGTACAGTATTAGCCTGACTTCAGACTTACTCTCTGAAAGAGTGTCTGTGACTCATAGGATCCGTTGTCATAACCAGCGTTCATTATAAAAACTGCACTTAACGCTTTCAGTATGATTACACTACCAGAGTCTGCTACCTTGCCTGGTTTAAGGAACAATGCGCACAATGCATTAAATACCTACTAATGAACAGGCAGTTCAGGTTCTCACGAAGCTGCTTAGCTCAGAGCAGACAAGTGCTTAAACATTCTCAGTACTACCGAAAGGGTCTGATAGCTCCTGCGCGTGTTCCTCTCTCCCCCTCTCCGAAGTACTTCAGGACCTGAAACATTATCAGCTGGCAGGGCAGGCGGGTCTCGCCGAAATGCTGCTGTGTGACTGCATGAGCAGTTGGGCAGGAAGCGAGCTTCCCCCTCCTCCCAGGTTTTGCATATGCACAGGCTTCCCTTCCTGCTTTCAGATCACAGGTCAGAACCCAACCACAACCAAAGGCCTGTCTATTCCGCAGTTCATAATTATGTTTTAACACATTAACAGTTGTTAACTGTACCACAGAGAACCAGGGCTGTTGCTGGCACTCTTTAGCCCTTGGGCTTTTTCAGTTCATAAACCCATCAGGGCACTTCTCCACAGGCTCCCTCCCATTGAAAAGCGCTTGGTCTGTTCTAAATGCACATATACGAATGCAAAATCGCTAATTATGCTGCAATACACACTAGCTTATTAAACTTTGAACCCTGAAGCCAAGGCCGTATTAAAAACCCCACGGCTTTTACCGCTGTCGCGGCGGAGGGGGGCGGGAGGCGGCAGCCTGCGGACCCGGGCACACGGCCCCGCCGAGCTGCTGCCTGGCCGAACTCGGCCTCCCAGGGGGGCCGGGGGCCATCCAGGTGCCCACTGCCCGGCCCCTGCCGTCCCCCGCCCCCGGCGGAGCGGCCTGAGGCTCCCGGCGCCACCTTCCCCCGGCCCGGGTCGGTGCCCGCGGTCGGTCCCGCTGCCACCCCCCGGCACCACCTGCCGCCAGGGAGCGGTGCCCGGGCCGCGCCGCCGCCGGGCCCGAGCGGAGCTGCCCCGGCCCGCGGGAGGCGAAGGGCGAGAGAGCCTCCCCTCCGCCGGCCGGGAAGGGGAAGCGGCGGCAGGCACAGCGCGGGTCGCCGCCGGCGGCACTCACCTCTCCGTCCCCGGCCGTGTCCGCGGGAGCGCGGGGCGGGAGGGGGACAGCCCGTCTCCAATTCGAAAGACGTCAGCGGCTCGGGCAGCGCGCTTAAGTACGGGCGCAGCCTACCCCGCTCCCGGCCCCGCGGCTCCCCCCGGCCCCGCGCCGCCGCCGCCCACGCCCCGGCGGTGCTGAGTGGCACGGCCGAGCCGCCAATGGCGGCGGCGTCGCGCCCGCCCCGGCCGTGAGCGGCGCCTCCTTCCACCAACGGGGCGGGCGGCGCGGCCCGCAGGCGCCGGCGGCGGGGCGCGGCCGCGGCCCTGACTGACTGGGGGAGGCGTCCAACCCGCGGTGCGTGTGGGCGGCGGGCGGTGTGGGCGCGGCGTGTGCGGCAGGCTGGGCTGCACCGCAGCGCATACACTACAATGGCTGCTGGAAAGACGGGAAAGCAAACAATTTCCAGGCCCGCCGCGTCCAGCCCGAAATATGGGGAAAAAATTACAGAAAAATCGGAGAACACTGTAAAGGGTGGAAACGGGGCGCAGAGGGGATGCTGAGGCTCCCGCGGTGAGTCTGCTGCGGGTTTGGGGGGCAGGCGCCGGGGTTTAGCAGGGAAATATCAGGGTTATTTAAATTATGAAGGGGGAGGAGGAGAAGGAGGGGGGAGAGGAGAGAGGAGCAGCGAGCAGTGAGGAAAAGTTTGTGTTAACCATCCCTCCCTTCCATCCCTCTCCCCGCCATCTCCCGCAGCCCCCCGCCGCCCTGCGTCGGACCCCCCCCCCCCCCCCCCCCGGGGGGAAAAGGGGGGGGGGGGGGGGGGGGGGGGGGGGCCCCCCCCCCCCCCCCTTCCCCTCCCTCGCGGGGAGAAAGAGATGATTTTCAGAAAAACCTCTCTCAGGAGTTTCCTCCACTCCTCCCCTCCCTCCCCGCGGCGCTATGTTGGTTCGCGAGCGAGCGGGCGAGGCGGCGGGGCTGCCCGGGGGACGACAGGAGGGCGCGGGGTGCCCGCCGCCGACCCCCGCGCCGGGCCGGGGCCGGGGCCGCGGGGCAGGGGCAGGGGCAGGAGCTGCGCGGCCGCCCCCTCCCCTCCTCGCCTCTCCGGAGCCTGTGCTGTGAATGCAGTGACAGCGGCGAGAGCGGCGAGAGAGGGAGCGGAAGACATTAGAGACCGCGGTGCCGAAAAATGAGGGAAAAAATTAATATAAATTCGCCCACCGCCTCAAACCGGACAAATTTCGCACAGAAATTTCCCCCGTGGACCCGGCTACCCGTGGGGTGTCCCCCGGACCTGGCGGCTGCGGCTTTGGGGGGATCCGGAGTGACTTTGGGGCACTCGACCCCCCTTTCCCGTCGTTTTTTGGACAAAAGTTTTTTTTTTCGTAATAAAGAAACGAATTTGCCTGCTCTCTCCCTCCGAGTGGCCCAGGAGCTTTTCCCTTCCCCATCGGTATGTGTTTAGAGAAAAGTGTGAACCCAAGTAAGTGCTGAGTCGTGTTTCATTGGGGAGGGGGGTTTTGCTAACTGAAAGCAGGAGAGATCCGGAGAGAGAGAGAGAGAGAGCAGGGACAGCTTGTTGTCAGTATCATAAACAACCAAAATGGAGGGAGAACTGAGGCATATAACAAAATAAAAATCAGAAAAAAATGCCAAAAAATACCTAAAAATCGGAGCTGCTCCCCCTTTTCTTCCTCAAGGTAACAGAATAAAACCCGTGTCTTCCCGAGACCGTTTTAAGGTTTCAGGGAGCAAGGAGTTAATATTTATTATTTTTTTTTTGTTGATGAATTCTTTGGAAAGGCAAAAGCCTCTTATAACTCGCCACCGACAATGAGAAAACGTGAAAATCCCTTTCAGGAGAGAGAGGTAGGGGGAGATGATGGTGCAGAAAGTGTGTAACTTGGGGGTAATGTGGAGTGATCCTAGATAAGATAAATGCTTTATGTGCTGCTTTATAACTTCCTTTTTTAATGCTTTTTTGGTATGTTTGGGGGGGGTTCGGGAGATGGGGGCTCCTTTCTTTGCCTCTGTCTTTTTCTTTCCTTTTTTTTTTTTTTTTCGGACCGGAATGTAATGCCTTTGTAGTGTCACTTTCCTGATCTAATTAGGATGTGTGAGGCAAAGAGTAAACCTTTCCGGTTTATAAAGTGCATTTTCGTTGTCTTTGAATTTCAAGTTTTCCTGGTAGCTCCCTCCTCTATTTAAACTGGATTCTTCAGAGTAGTGTGGGGTTGAGGTAATGCTCCATAGGGAAAGAAGAGAGGGCTCAGGGGCAGGGCACCTCTTCTGCGGATGGTTGCTGATTTCCCTGGCACGTTCAGTTCACCTGTTTGTCTCCTGCAAAGAATGTATTCTGCAGTCTCCTCGTTTTATTTATATAAAATAATGATGCCTCATCTCACCTCACATTGAAGTTAATGCGAAAGTGCTGCTGATGTTGGTTCCACGTGGGATCAGGGACATAGCAGGACATTTTAAAGAGACAGCTTCTCTTTTCCTAGGGTTATCATCACCTCTGCAGCACCTCTGCCTTTAGCAGAGGGGTGGTTCGTTGTTGGTTTTTTTTAATGGAAAGCTATCAAATTGGCCCTGGTCTGATAAATTAAGGCAGGATAACATGGAAAAACGTGCAGATTCGTTGGGATCAAAGCAATTCTTTTGTGTGTAGCATGTCTTTAGGGGAGTTTTCTTGGTGTGTTAATTGAGATGCTGTGTTTTGGAGAGCATTTTTTGGAATGCATGTTGCAGAAATAAAATAGTCTCAGGTTGTTTAATATTAAGACCTAGTGCTGTTCTGCTAGCTGTGAATTCCCTGGGAGGAGATGATCTCCCTATGCGTGTAGGGCAATTTCATAGACATTTTGTAAAAGTTGTGAAGTGCATTATTTTTACTTTGAATACATTTGGTTTTGTTGGGAACACCTGAGTTTATTGAAAAGCTTGTTCTGTACTTGAATCTCCTGAACAGTCCCCAAAGGTTTTGAAAATAGTGAAAGTAACTGTAGGTTTTAATTGGCCAAAGTAGGGGCTCCTTATAAGTACACCTTAGCTGTGTAGTTATAGCATCACTTGGAAGAATTGCCTCTGGCATTGTTTAAAGAAAGAAAGATCATCCTAACTGTGGTCTAGTTTCATGTATATGTGTGCATATGTGTGTGCATGCATGTTCTGGCTGATACAGTTTTATGCTTGATTTTTAACTTGCAAATGTTTAACTGTGATGATGTGAAATGCTCTGCTTATCCCTATTATCTCCTATGTATTTTAATTTTCAGTGAAATATCCTATTTAAAAAAATTAACATCGCCTCTTAACATGGTAATTTTATATCTTTATGAGAGTTACAATGTTTCCTTTACATTTGCGTTGGTTTTTTTAGTCTTTGTATTTAATTCTGGATTGAAAGTTGAATACAGGTATGTGGTTCTTGAGAGCAAAGCTGAAGTACTGAACTTGTAGGCAGGCTATTTCAGCAAATGTTTTCTTTGAATTTGTGGAAGTTGAGTATCAGTTGTGATAGCCGTCTGTGTTCAATAGCATGTGCTCACAAATGATCTGTACCTTTGCTACAAGGGTGACCAAAGAAGCTTATTGTCTAGATAGCCTGGTGGTTAAAAATTTGGGAAGAAATCTCAGAGTTTTCCAGTGACTCACAGGTGTGAAAATTAAATCACATTAACTACTTTTGGGCTAGAAAAAAAGGCTCATTAAGGAAGAAAGATTAATCAGTTTGTATAAAGGAATGAACTTTTAACATTTTTCCAAAACTGCCTTTTATGGTTTAGAGATTCAGACTTAAAAGTTCCTTTCTGAATATTTCTTAACCTGATCTATTATTTTATTGACTGAAGTAACATTACCTTGGAATGCATAGAAATTTGATAAATTAATAGCAGTACACTATGTGTTGGTGGTTTTAATGTACCAGGGTAGATAGACAAATACTAGTAGATGTGCAGAACTAACTTAAATAAACTAGTTAACGGTACTGAGAACAGTATTTAAGAACTCTTCAAATGCTGTATCTGTGACAATCAGTATGAAGTGTTTAATATGTTTAATATGTTTATTATGTTAATATTTTTACCTAATTAAGAGCTTCTTAGTCATTAATATTGTAATGCTGAAAATAGGTATAGGCACTGGTAATAACAACATGAAAGAAGCACATGTAGTGCAGTATCTTTCTTGACTTACAGCTATGTATTACAAATTAAATTCGGTGTATCCAACCATAGTACAAAATTCAGGACATAGGGAGGAGAAAGAGGAAAGGGTGTTCTCACAGAATTTGATGCTGTTCTAAACTGGGTTTAATTTAAGGTGTAGTCCAGATGGTGATAATAATAGCAGAAAATAAATGTTGTTTAGGATTTTTTTTTTACAAACTTAATCTCTTTCGTAGAAAACTGAATTTTTCTTACAGTGATGAAGTCTATTTTTTAATAAAAATAGAAAGTAACTTTCAAAGCTTCCTTAGTTCTAAGAGTTAAGATAATCTCCTGTATTATGAGTTGGTCTGATTCTATACATGATACAGTATGATTTTTTCAAGATTTTCTAAAATTAAAACACCTGAAGAAACAAATACTATGGGCTGTTGTTGGTAAAGTTACCCTACTTTTTGTAGGTAAACTGGAGAGCTGTAAATGTGTTAAAATCCTTCTTAGATACTTATCATTCCTATTCAATACTGTTTAAAAGTTAATAACTGCAGTATTCTACAACAGTACAAGCAAATACACGAATCTAAATTGATATGCATTCAGCTTTCCTTGAATGCTTAGTTCAAATGTGTCTCTTGGTGTGTACTTTTAATTTAGTAATTATCCTGAAAAAATTAGTTTCCCAGCATAGAACTTTTGAGATTTAAATTAAGAAACCTTTAAAAAGTTTGTGTAATTCCAAAAGGCACTACTTACTAACACAGACACTTCTAATGGTTGTCCATCTCTGCAGCTAGTTAGTCAAAATGGTGCCCTTTAAGTCTCCTCCTTTCAGGGTATTACATGTGTTTTAAAATTAATGGGTTAAAGAGGGTACTGCTCATGTTCTAAATAAACCACTGTTTGCAACTGTTCAAGGTTATTTTGTTAAAATGGATGTTTTGCTTCAGAGTCTAAAACATAAGTTTTAAAAATTTTTATAAAATTGTTTATAACTTCTTATGTTGTTAAAACCAGATTTTGTGAACAAAATGCTTTTTGGGAGGGTTCTTGAACAACTTTATCTGTTTACCAAGGGGAGATATTCTGGAAAACATAAAATATATTAGAACACTTAGACCGTTCTCAAATCAGTGTAGAGTTAAAAGGAGCTAGCAGTCATCACCACTGAAGTGATAGAGCACTTGCTTTCATGGAGATATTCTCCAAATATCTGCTACTAGAAAAGATTTAGCTTGCAGAGCTTTTGAAAAAAAATGAGCAGTATTTATCCACTGAACTTCTAAGCATCTTTAACCAATTACCAAATGTTTAGGTAGCCTTAAAAAACTATTTAAAAATAATTCAAATATTAGACCAAAGTAACATTTGTATTGATCAAATATAAAATGTTTAAATTATTGA